GGACATTTAATAAGGTATAGAAGTCAATAAGAAGTGTAGACGGATGATTGCATCCTATTCAAATGGAGTATTGTGTTTGTTTCTGTGCAAGATGTCTCCTTTCCCATTGCTCCGTGTGGCAGTGCATATCTTAGCCTAGCGTCAAGTGAGCCTACTATTGTTTATATTGATAGATAAGTTCTTTCTATAAGTCCTCTAGTTGTGGCGTTCCCTCAATAGGAGATAAGGAAGGCGTACCGACCCTCAACAGAATTGAAAAAAGTGTGGTACCAACCCACTTCTCACCTGTAACTTATCTCTCAAAACCTCCTTCATAATTTCCCTATCACCAACGCCCAATTTATCAGCACACACTAACGCGGCCATAGTCAGAGCCCTCAGCCTCTCCGGATTCGTAACTATATCTTCGACCAGCTCTTCCAAAGCTTGGCTTCTTATCCCATCCTTATAATCGAATTTCAAATGGTATGCGAACGTCAACACAAAGTTGTCGTAATTCTCGTAGTGCTTCGGAACCCGTACCAAAACTTCACCAAATTCTTCGTTGGTCGTTTCCTCCTCTCCCACAGCTGCAATCACACCCCTGTGCGAAACGCCTCTTTTCAATGCATCCGATACCACAATTTCTGCTAATCTTTTCAGATAAATCGGTTCACAGCGACCCAACCGAGCCAACAACTTAACAGCAAATAGCTGCACTAAGGGATACTCCAACGCCTCCGGTCCTCTACCGATGAGATTATCAACAAGATGATCAATGCGATCTGACCAAAGAACACGCTTGCGCATACATGTGGGGGAGAAACACACAATATCTTCAAATATCTAAATATCCTATCTATCTTTAAATAGATTATTAGATAAATCTCATTTATCCTTAAATCGTCGACTGCCGTACATATCATCATACGAAGTAAAGTTTCATTATTCTCAACGACGAGCTTTGCAACAATTCATTTCCATTTTTTCAAAGATCGTCATACTTCACTTGTTACGATAGATAGAAAACCCCGGGGAAATTTCGTTCGTATACCAGAACCGATTTTCCTACAGTGTGAAGACTGTTTTCAAAAGTACGTCGAGAATCAAGCATTCACAGCAATAGCTCCGCGATGTAACAGAAATGTGGTATGAATTAATACAACAATTTACCTTTATAAAATGGGTGCACTTCCGTCAGCTTTATATCTTCCAAGTGACTAAGAGTCCTCAACAAATGTGATGGTTGAATGCGATCGACGTTCGAGAGCGCAGCATCTAAGGCAGTCGAGAACTGTATCGGGGAAATATACAACATAGTTGATGACAATATGAAAATTCTGCTAGGAAATTTTGGGAAATTCTCATTGGTTTTTCGATACACTTCTACCTTAGAGAGCTCCTGAGCTCAGCTGAGGCAAGCGAGCACATATTTCGAACTTGATACTAACACAGCAATTTCACACCGAGGAAATCAATAATTTCCTCAAAACTCCAATAAAACTAATGATGGTTGAAAATGATTAACATCTGATAAAATGGAGTCACTCTCGAGAGCTCCTATTCTACTCTGAAACTCCAAAGCGATATCGCACCAAACTCAACTGGTAAAATATTGCAATTCCAAAATAATAACTTTTGCGACTAGAAAATGTCAGAAATTCCTCGAAAAATGCTGATGAATATTCTCCAAATTACAAATTCCAATTAATTTCCAAACGAATGAATATGAAGGGAAAAAATTTCGATTATCAATATTATTAAAAAATAATGGAGTTTCACCCGTTTCACGTAGAGTGGCATAAAACTCCGTGAAAACGCGATATTTGCGCCTTGCAGTAGTCCTGAAGTAGTGTTTTTCATATCACTAGGGTGTATATATAATAATTCTTAAAATTCAAAACTTTTACAAAATAATTTTGCCAACATTATCCCACAATTTTTCCTCTTCTCCTACAGCGCCCCCCCAGCATCACCATCTTACTCAGCAGTGTGCCAACCACCCGAGCACTTCCCAACATGGGATCTATGTTCGAAATGAACTGCATCAAATTCGTGATAGTAATCCGGCACGCCTTTTGATTCTCTGGCGAAGCAAAGAAAAATCTAACAGTGTTAATAATGTTCGCCACAGTTCGTCTCGGTAGTTCCGAACTCGACTGGAGTCGTTTTAGTAGTTTCAGTGCTTTCACAACAACTTCCGCTGAAAATCAAAAATCCCTTTCCACAGCAAATCAGATAATTCCTCCTTACTAGATAGCTTCGATCGTTCACCGAACTCAGCCGCCACAGCTTGTTGAAGCGGAGTACCAGGATGAACCACATCTGCTAATCGACCTACCTCCATCTCGGAGAGATCTGATAAACCTCTGAAGAGAAAGAACGGTATTCATCCTAGTGATATGGAGAACACTAGTGAAAAGGGTATTTCACGACTACTGCATATCATCGCGAATATCGCGTTTTACACCGAGTTTTACGCCACTTCACGTAAAAACGGGTGAAATTCCATCGAAATTTTATCAGGATTTTTCCAGTGTCCCCACGAGGAAGATTCAAAACAGCTTGGATGATCTCAACAACCAATTCTACTATCAACCAAAACAGACAAAGATTCTTTTCGTGCCCCCAGACAAAGATTCAAAGCATGTCCACTCACCGTGTCACCAATATATTTTCCAATTCTCTCGTAGCCGCGTTATTCCTTCCCAGCGCTTTCTCCAACGACACATACGCCGCACTAATATCATGTGGATCCAAATCTCCTGTCACCGCCATTGCTCTCACTCGTCGTACCAATTCTAACATCAACAGAAGAAAATCTTCCCAGTGCGTAAAGATACGCTTACCTCCTATAAGCTGCTTAGTCACATCTTTTTCATTTTCTTTCCAATTCCCTACTCCAACCCGCGTGGCGTGAATCGCCGCTAGTTTCTGCAGAGCTTGTAAAGCGACTTGAATACCCAAACTTGGTGGCGGCATCGCCCTAGGCTCTCCCTTTCCCTTCAAACGTCTATCCCTATATTCCTCCTCACGACGAATCACCTACGAATTCCGACAAGCTATGTGCATGCGTGCAAACAATTCTAATATATCCGACCTCTCCAACAACAATACAAATCGAATATACATATATTCCATTTTCCGACTACCATACTCAGTAGAAAAAATATAAATAAAGTTTCACCCTAGTGATATGAAAAACATATTCAACGACCACGGCATATCACCGCGAATATCGCGCTTTTCACCAAGTTTTACGCCACTTCACGTAAAACGGGTCGTGAAACTCCAATGATTTCAGATTCACCCCAAAATTCTCTATCCTATGTCATTTCCATTTTCTTTGTTCGTTTCGGACACTATAACGAAAATCGTTCACCCATTTCCTGCACGAGTTTTCTCAACTTAATTCCTATCAATCTATATTCAACATAACAATGACCAACAACATCGGAGTTTCACAACCCGTTTTACGTGAAGTGGCGTTAAAACTTCGTGAAATACGCGATATTCGCGGCATGTAGTAGTCGTAAAATATGTTTTTCATATCACTAGGGTGGTGAAACTCCAATGATAAAAAGAAAGAAATAAACTCTTCGTTATCGCTGGTAAAACAAAATCGAAATCATTATCATATATTTATACTCCAATATTACGATTGTATATATTATAGGGAATATTAGAATATATTTCACCCGCGATATGAAAAACACTAATAAAAAACCTATTTCAAAATTCACTTCGCGGAAAACAACTCATATAATCGGTATCGACATATTAAATGAATACCTACAGTACGTGTCAATTTGATATGCAAATGTGTGTAATTTCTGAGACCTACTTGATAATCGATTCGAAACTATATCCCATATACAATGCAACGATGACTATTAACATGTGTTGTGATGATGAGTACCCGTCTGGGACTGTGATGATAGCGACATTCACTTGTTCACTATCATTTGCCGCCAAAATAACACACATTTGCATATCAAATCGACACGTACTGTATGTAATAATAAGCATCAATATTCAATTTTTACTACCAAAACAGCGACGAAAGACCCCTTTCGAAGATGCCGCTCCCTATCTACATTATCAGATCTACTTCAACCCTGTATTACTGTCAACAACCTTTCCTCCACCGCCTTAAGTCGCTCCTTCGGCACACTACGGACCTCAGCTAGAGCTTTCAATACCTGCGAAAAATACATATTCTTGGAAATTATACAAAACAACTGCGCACGAAGTCTAATCACTAATTACCACTAATTACCAATCTATAATCTATAACGATATCAATGTATAATCTATTTTATACGTTAACCTAGCTTTATTATTATCATATTGATGATAGGTTTATATTATTTATATATTGGAGTTTCACCCGTTTTACGCGAAGTGAAATGTGTTTTTCGCATCATATGTGAAACTCCATTATATTATTATGAATATTAAATATTATCAAGAAAAGTAATGAATAAAACGCTCGTCAATCTTAACGCGTCGAACATAAAAACAGAAAGATGAAAAGAACATTTTTTTGGTAATATAAAATTATACATCAAGTCTGATATGATGAACTATACAAGTAGGAAGTTCATCGACCTTAACTAGTCAGACGCATGAACAGAAAAAAACCGAATTATGGTATTCATAAAATAACGGAATAAATACCATTAAAGAATCGATTCCAAGTTTCTACGTCAGCTTCTCATCTGACTTGTATAATTTAAAATTCACACATGCGATTTTCATTGTGAAACTTCGCACTGTACACCGCTAATAATTTCGTGGCGAGCGACAGTTGATGAGTGGCAGATCTTGCGTTTTACAATAATTCGGTGAACAGTTGTAGTTGTTCGAATATCAGAACCGGCATTGCAAAGCGCTCAATATTTCAAAGAGATGCTGCTAGATGCGAAATCTCACACCCTAGGTGTTGAAGAGTTATAATCATCAAACGCAGCCCTACAGCCCTTTTACACTGTAATTAAACTCTTGTAGTAAGAGGTTACTTAATCAGGCGTTTATTAGAAGGCACCATATCTTCGAAGGAGTGCAGGTTAAAACTCCTCATAACATCCTTGAGGAACTACTAAATGTCGGCCCTTTCTCACACGACTCAGTAGGATGCGTTTCACTACAGCAGTAGGAAGGTTACGGCGTTATGCAATGACGAAAATTACACGTGAAAGCCTCAAATTAAACAAGTTGAATAATAAATGCGTTTTGAAACTTGATGATTAATTTTTATACGGTATTTATCTCATCATCTTGATAAGAATTGTGTCTCAATCTATAGATATTCGTCGAGTAGCTGAACTGACTGTGGATAACAACTAACTATGCTCATCAACTGCTGAACTATGAAGAGACTCATCATTTATCTCATCAAGTTGTGGCGCGCGACAAAATTTCTCACTTTACCCCACAATACCACAGCAATTGAATCAGGTTGCAGTCGAGCAATGCTTTGATCCAACATATCGCTCATCACTTCTTCCTCTACCAGCGAGAATAGGCGTAAAAACTGATGAAAAAAAGCATAAAATCACAGCGGAGCGAAGCGCAAATTATATTTCTCACCACAGCTCTATTGTAAACCAAGGCCACTTCGAACGGTCGCATTATAGTAGCCTGCTTGACGATGCTCTCATGCAAGTTCTCATAAGCTGGATGCTCGCGGATCTCTTTAGAAATCCGACGAACCTGATTTCGACGATACACACATATTACGTGGTACAAGCCGTTTATCACTAGTCTCAACCGATGAAAGAAAAACTAATGATGTAAAAGTGTAGAACTGTGGTATACAGGCCTTACAAGAAGATCTGGTATGAAACAGAAACTGATATTGTGATTCAGCGTGGGAAAATATACACATGCTAAACCACATGCGTTGGCAACGATATGAAAAAAATTCGGGAAAATTTCTGCACACCTTCAGCTGAATTCCTATAATTAGTGAGTAAACTCCTGAGCTCAGCTGAGCAATGTAAACACATATTTCAACAATGTTGTGATTTGGCAAGCCTAGTTGGAACGTATGTTCGCTTTTCTCACTTCAAATTACATTATGAACATTTACACACGACTTGAGGACGGAGGGTTTCCAAACCAACAATGGTCCTCTTATTGTCATCAACATTCCCTCATCGCTGACTACTACGGTTCACTGTGTGAGCACTAGTACAATACAATAACAAGGAAAATATCGAAATATAAGGACTCATAAATAGTTCCAGATCACCATGATAAATTCCCATCTGCGACAAACGCCGTTGATAATATATATAAACAAGCCTAAGCTGGCTCCGTTACTCATTGTCAATGATCGTAGCGTACTTTGAAATTGGAGAGCAATTTCAGCGTGAACTCAAGCATCTCTTATTGAGCCATGAAAGTGATATATGCACATGGAGGAAACCAAACATAAGGAATTTTGTGAAATTATTGTTGGATTTTTCACACTTCTACCCCATATCGTATGTAAACTTCCATAACGTAGCTATGGAAACTCCTGAGATGAGCTGCAGAGATCGAACATATATTCCTCTGAGACTAGTTTACTATAGCTCAAGCATTGTAGTAGTACCTTCTGGCCGCCTGGTGAAGTAGCGGCTAATATTCGCAATGAATAGATGGCCTCTTCTACTGACAACTCCCTTCCACATATCTCTATACTGCGCAAGACTTGTAGATGCGCTTGTGGCTGATATAAATCAAAAGATATGAAATCGAGAGTTGGCAGATTTACGGTACTCGAGTTAATTCAATTGAAGATAATCTTTTCCCAAGTTCAGTGTTGGGCGGTGCTAGGGAAGTTTGAAGGCTTTTGACAGAACGAGCTGCTTCTTTTCGAGCTGGTCCGATGACTCTGGCCACGACGGCAGCCATGATAAAAAATGAGAAGAATCTTAGGTACTCCTCGGTAAGATACAAAACAGGTCCGCTACTGATCATGAGAGTATCTTACATGATACCTCATTGTAATATCGATAATGGTCGCATTGAACTGTACGGATTACCTTCTAATCAACCACAACAGTCATCATAATAACCTACCATCTCCAATGTCCTGTAGATAGGAGATACAGGTGATACCCCCCTAACGATCAACTCGTCCAAGCGGGGCAGCTATGCCACTCAAAGATACCAATCAATACGTCTAAGCGGGGCAGCTATGCCACTCTAAGATACCAATCAATTCGTCTAAGCGGGGCAGCTATGCCACTCTAAGATACCAATCAATACGTACAAGCGGGGCAGCTATGCCACTCAAAGCTACCAATCAATTCGTCTAAGTGGGGCAGCTATGCCACTCAAAGATACCAATCAATTCGTCTAAGCGGGGCAGCTATGCCACTCAAAGATACCAATCAATACGTCTAAGCGGGGCAGCTATGCCACTCTAAGATACCAATCAATTCGTCTAAGCGGGGCAGCTATGCCACTCTAAGATACCAATCAATACGTACAAGCGGGGCAGCTATGCCACTCAAAGCTACCAATCAATTCGTCTAAGTGGGGCAGCTATGCCACTCAAAGATACCAATCAATTCGTCTAAGCGGGGCAGCTATGCCACTCAAAGATACCAATCAATTCGTCTAAGCGGGGCAGATATGCCTTTCAAAGATACCAATCAATTCGTCTGAGCGGGGCAGCTATGCCACTCTAAGATACCAATCAATACGTCCAAGCGGGGCAGCTATGCCACTCTAAGATACCAATCAATACGTCCAAGCGGGGCAGCTATGCCACTCAAAGATACCAATCAACTCGTCTAAGCGGGGCAGCTATGCCACTCAAAGATACCAATCAACTCGTCTACTGTAAGCGGGGCAGCTATGCCACTCAAAGATACCAATCAATTCGTCTAAGTGGGGCAGCTATGCCACTCAAAGATACCAATCACCCGTATATTAGATCATTTAACTGCTCAGATTCCCTCCTTCTTGTCAACTTCATCAATTACCCCCATAACACAGCATTCCCTTTAAGTGAGGAATCATTACCGTTCTTTCCGAAGAACCTTACTCTCCTTCCTCAATGAGATGCTACTAAGCTATAACAGGCCCACTGTAAAAGAAAGTCGGACATAAGCAACTCCGACATATTGGAGGGCTTATAATCACGTGTGATCACAACAGCATCCGTACCTCTTTGGATCGAACCTTTGAATTGGTTGAGAGAAATCTTTCAGATTGCGTTGTCACGCGCCACAAAATTATAACAAGCGGTTGAATCAATTTTGAATCTTCGAAACTACTCTGAGACCATTTTCGTTAGCGTGTGTGGTAAAAGGGCTGTTTATGACTAGCATACTCAAGTTACCGTATCTTGAATACGCATTGACGAGAAAATAACGCGGAAAACGAATCATTAGGGATTTCTTCATTTCCCTCTGAAAGATGCGGCGGACACCCAGTATAACCAATGAAAACGAAAATTTCGTTACGAAATTGTCATTCGATTATTGCATCAACTGCGAGTGTGAACTTCACACTCGCAGTGAAAAAGTCTTCACACTGTGAAGACTTTTATGGACTTTACTCTATATTGAATCTCTATATGAATCGGTTGCTTATATACACGTAAATACATTGGAGTTTCACCCGTTTTACGTGAATTGGCGTAAAACTCGGTGAAAAACGCGATATTCGCGGTGATATGCAGTAGTCGTGAAATGGTTTTTTCACTAGTGTTTTTCATATCACGGATGAAACTCCATTATCTCATATGTAGTGTATTTACGACGCCCATCTTGATATTTGTCCGCCTAGGCGAAAGAGAATACTGCACAAGTCGTCGTATGGCAAACCAGTGCGGTGAAATATGCACTTGGTGAACTACATGTGTTGGTGACAGAATGAAAATCCTTTAGGAATTCTGGGAGGGGAGGCAATTCTACGTGAATTTCTGTGTAATTTACCATAATAGTGAGGAATCTCCTGAGCTCAGCTGAGGAGAGTGAACATATATTCCAACACGGCGGAGAACTGTTCTTTATAGTGTTTATTATTAGAAGTTCCTTATGCCCGATCACAATACTCCCGAAGTGTCGAAAAGTGATGATTCTGAGCCCTATTTCTCTAGAGGGCCGGATACGCTCAAGATCCCTCTGGTGATGCACCGAGACCATCGTCGGAGGTTGGCTGAGGCGATGCTGAAGGACAAACTGGCACCGGAAGGTGGTACAGTTTACATACCACTCCTTTGGGAAATCGTTGAGAATCAGACCCCGCGTTGCTCATCGTGTTTCTAGACAGAAATGACTGTATTAGTGGCGCGTTGATTATCATTGGGCTGTGTGGAATCATATGCAGCGTTTATTGTGCACTGGATCTCTGGCGCCGTGTTGAATTTCGTATACCACTCCTTGGGGAAATTGTGGAGACATGTGAATGCAACAGTACAGGGTCTGATTATTTTGCTCGCTGCGACGACTTCCCCATACCACTCCATGAGAAGATAGTATATGCAATTGACTGCACTAGGACTAAAGCGATCTCTCTGCTGCGTTGGATCATTCGTACCACCCCTCGAGAAATTCGTAGATAATACTGGCCACCAAGCTAACCTCCTTAAGCGCTTTGATGCCCTTGTGTGCAGGTACTGTGATATTCCTTAGAGGTGGCGAACTCCAATCTGTGTATGATTCTGATACTGAGTGGGACTTCAAACAAGAATCATATTTTCAGTAGGCATCGGGTCTGGGGACTTTTCAAGTGGTGTCGTTGTAGAACGTTTTCTATAGCAACACTATACATATGCAGAGTATCATCATGTTTGGAATTAATAATGGCATTACTTGACGTAAATACACATAGTTGGAGCATTGACTACTAGTCCCTGCTTGTACACTCTATATTGTATAGTTGCTGGTGATAATAAACTGAAATGGCTAGGCTCTGATGGTGATATTATAGCTGTGCAACTGCCCTTACTGCGTGAATACGCCACAATACACTTCAAGTGTAATTATACTATGAATGTGTTGTATTGTAGACCTTCCCTGGTTGACTTGTTATTTCATCATCAGGTATCTCTTCGGTGTGAAGGAGCCGGGCTGTGTGGCGACCGTTGAGCTCGACTCTTCGGCGCCATATAAGCACAAGTAGAATCGGAAATGTTACTCATGTCGTTATTTGGAATGTTATCTCGGTTGTGGATTTAGACGCATATCTTAGGTCGAAGTGTGGAAGATACGGTTCAGGTCCACTTTGTATGTCCCGCGATTCGATGATGTATATGCTACCTGGATGGGGCCGATCAAACCGAAGAGTTGGTTCCAATCTAAGTAGGGGCTGTTGGTTGAGAGAGTTGCCTAATCTGCGCTCACTTTTTTTAACAGGCGTTAGTTGAGTATTCACTGTGTTTCGTTCTTTTCATACCCAATTTTTTTTTCGATGATGCAAGTCTCTGTGGCTACTTCCTTACCTTATTGCAGGTATGTGGTGGATGAAGTGCTTTATGTTGGCGAAATCGACTTATCCAATGCGAAGGCAACTATGGAGGTAGTCAGGGTTATACCAACATGGGGAGATTCCCAGTATGTATTTCCCAGATTGAGGGCGTTAATCGTGATTCTGGTATCGCGCACGCTGAGGTGAATAAGCAAGCGATAGAGCTTACCAACAAACTGGATGGATCAGCATTGTGGGATGTGCTTAATGAGTTGAGGAGTGTTAAAGACGAGGAAGAGATCAAAATTATGGAGTAAGCTTTATAGAAATTAGTTTACATGGAAGAGGTGAAAAATTTGAAATCTTAAAAATTGCAGAAGCTCTTCGAAAAAAACTGCACGAATTCCCGATATTTTCCCCCTTTTTTCATGTTTTCCATGTTACAAGGTTTTTTTGTTGTTGAATAGGAAGCATTTCTGAGGCTTTAGATACGCTTGCCTTGTATCTTCCTCGGCACATCTCTCGACTATGAGGGCTTGCTATGAAGATCGAGCTAACACTCATAGGATGGAATACAACGCCGTAGCTAACTTCCGTTATGAAGGCGCTATGAGAGGCTGCGAACGTAAGGTCGTTCAGTTAGGACAATACGACAAGTGGACGTTGAAATCCTCCTCTTATCTCAACGTGTATCCAGTTTCTCTTGAACAATTGTGGAATCGGCTCTCACTTGTGAGTAACAAAGGTTTTGGAACTGTTCATCTCTGTTCTAGGCTAGAAGCTCCAACTGTGACTGTTCATCTCAGTCACACTTCATATTCTGACTTCATTCAGGTGTCGGTTATGGTTGTATTGGATGCGCCGGTACTTCGAACGCTTCCCTTCACTACGGTCATCCCGCTGAGCCAAACGACAAGAGCGTCCACAGGTCGGATCTAAGACTGCTCGATATGGGAGCTGAGTAAGCCTTGTGCGGTGTTGAGATAAACGCTCGCTTTTCTTCAGCTAAGTATAGAAGTATACATACGGATTCGGGTAGAAATGTACAGAAATCAATGAGGATTTCCTCAACTTTCCTCAGAATTTCCACGAATGTCACCTACACATGTTGTTGATCATGCGCATATTTTCCCACAACGCTTATCTGTGAGAAGCGCATGTAAAGATACTCCTTGAGGTACCATTGTTATACGGCGGATGTGACATGTACTTTCCCGACGAGTGGGGAGTTCACTGAGCTGCAGAAGGAAGCTTATGAATCGGTTCTGGCGGCGGTACATGCAGTGGAGAAGATTCTCAAACCGGGATTGGATTACAGGGATATGCATAGGAAAGCTACGAGAGTTATTGCTGAGTAAGTTGTGCCATTAGTGATCGTGATACGATGTAGAGCGTTCGTGCATGGGAAAATTAACCGCGCTGCATTAGGATTGTGTGAACTCCCCAATGTCTGCCCAATTCAGGGAAGCGCTGGGAAATTTTGCCCCGAAAAACACATTGTGATTTCCTTTTGAATATCATGAGTGTCTTTACTCTTTACTGCGTGTATACGGTTTCTCCTGCCAGGGAACTTACCAAGCGTTTGAATCTTTTTACCGCTCCCATCGATAGTGTATGCGAGGAAGCGTTGGTCGCGCGTTATCTAATGCCTCATGGGCTTGGCCATATGTTGGGATTGGATGTACATGATGTTGCCGGGTAAGGGAGAACACTCATGTGTTTATGACTAAGATGTGGATCAGATACGAGCCGGGTCACTTTAAAGATAAGGACGACGTTTCTCTCACGGGGTTGAGGTTGGGGAGGGTCGTTAAGGAGGGTTATGTGCTAACTGTCGAACCTGGATGGTGAGTTTTACACGGGGATCAGGACACGCGTTTGAGCATATTGAGAAATATGTTTGTGTTATAACTGTCTCTCTATAGTCCTCTACAGTGAATGGATGCCGACTATACACTACTTGAGGATTCTCAGAAATAAATATACTTCAATTTCCGGTCAGCCACTACACGGTAAATTGTCTCTCTGTAGTCCCTTATCGTGCAGGGATATCGATCATACATTATAGTATCAGTGGAGAAGTTGCCCTTTCTGCCGAATGGAGTATTCACGCTGTGATGCAGTTACTTCAACCCGTATTTGATCGACAAGTGGTGCTCGCATCCTGTTCACTCCAAGATGGTCAATGAGACAGTGTTGAGATCGTTGATCCCGGTGGGTGGAATCCGTATCGAAGATGATGTGCTTATCACTCGGGATGGATGCAGGGTTTTGAATGATGTGAGTCGTGCGGGGTTCGGGAATAGAACCTGTGCGGGAAATACACATGAGGGTTATGGCAGATACCTCGCAGCGTGGAGGACATCGAAGCATTTATGCAGGGGAAGATCGAGTGGGTCCCCGGCAAGGGAAAGAGCGAAGTGGCTTAACTCGTAGACGACTAGCTCTGAGTTTCTCTAACGCAGATTCGTGATTTGCGTATAGGGGGAATTCTGGCACGGGAGAGTTGAGCCCCTCAACTCATAGAAACCGCCCCCGCCCCAACCTGAGGGGGGCGATTTATGCTAGGAAGTGCAATGGGCGGCTCGTCAATTCCAGAGACAGGGGAGAGGATTTGTGGCGTATGAAAGTATGTGAATCAGCACGCGGTGTTGCTACAGTATGAAGTTCATACTAAGAATAGTGAACCAAATACTTATGAACTTATTCCATACTTGTGAACCAAATACACATGTTTGTGGGTAATTTTATCCCAATTTCGATTGTAGGGCTATGAAGCACTTGGTGATCGATACACGTTGTTTTTTTGATGCCGCTGATTTAAGTTGACTCCTCAACCATTGGAAAGTCATTCGGCGGGCGACACTCTGTATAACGGTGCGAAACATTCTATTGTGCCGACACAGCAACACGTATGCGCGCTCGAAGTGCGTTTGTCGCGCGGCAACTTGAGCGCTCGAAGTGGAAATTCCGGTTCCTCGCTGAAAGAGTGCGTCTCCCTTTGACCACTTTCGATCGGGTTGAAGAATATTCTTTGCCCCTTCCCATATGCATGTCATTCTTGTTATGGGAATTGTCACTCCCTGCTACTCGGCGTCGTTGAAGTTCATGCGGGACAACATTGTGACGATGCCTATAGAAAACAGCTATGCAACGGTCGAGTTAGACGGTCAACGAGTGGCTCTTCTGGTTGATTCTGGAAGTGACAAATTACTGGTGAATAGTGGAGAATGGTACGAAGAAATATACGGTAAAGGCGCATGTACAGACTCGAAAGCCGCCTGTTATTTTTGCCCATCACCGGAGCAATGCTATAGCGACACGTCTCGAGTATACCGGAGTAGATTTGCAGATGGCGCTGAGGCTCGTTATGTGATTCACAAAGCCTCACTGACGATTGGAGAACAAACGGCAATTGAGGAGTTCGAATTTGGTATTATAATTGACTTCATTGACCCCGCTGGAGGGAGCAACTCTCGATCGTTAGGGATACTTGGAATAGCACCGGCGTGCAGTCGTAAGCTTTTGAGTAGTTTTATAGAACAACTACAATCTAGTTCAACAATTGCGCGTAGGACTTTCGCGATTCACGCGAAACGCGGGAGAGGATTCAACGGTGAAGTCACTTTTGGTGCACTTGTGAAAGAGGACGTGAGGACTACATTGAGTCGAATGGCGTACTGCTACAAAAATGGCTGGGGGCGGGTCTCGGTTTGGACTGCTTCTGTCGCCCTCTTGAGAACAGATGGGAATCTTTCGAATGTGTATCGTCCTCTTATGTCGCAACGAGACAGGTCCTACTTGTCATATGTTGATAGCGGTACTATTTCAATTGGCATCCCTAATGCGGCAGATCTCATCGAACGAATTTTGGAAAGTACGAAAAGAGAAATGGGCAAGTTTTCGGAGCAGTATTGGAAGGTCGAAGAGACAGGGGAAAAGTATTTGATTATAGACAAGAGAATGCGAAAGTATTTGCCGACTTTGGCGTTTCGTCTGCAGAACGAAGTAGGTTTTTCTTTGAAAATCGAAGGCCGAGACTACACTGTATGTGGAAGAGGTGGATGTTTTGTGAGAATAAGAGATAGTGGATTGAAAGATCGAATTTTATTCGGAATTCCACTGTTCCGTGCGTACGATGTTCATGTTGATTTTGATGAAAGAAAAATAGGGTTCGTAAGAAACAAGATTTTCAAGCCATAAAAATATATGGTTGAATTCATGATGTTTTTTTGTGAAAAGAGTTTCCTTTTGTGTTGTGACTATTTGGGGGAGAGGAGATTTGTTACAATGGATACACTTCTCGATGTGAGAGAGGATCCTTCGGTGGTAATAGATTTATACACATGTATTTGACGTGATAGATTATACGAGCCGTGAGCGAAACGTTTATCAACAGCATCAAGCAGGGAACGGAGAAAACCCGAGGACGGGGCGAGTTGGCCTGAAGGATGGAGTAACTCTGATCTGACCTTCTTTCAAGCTTATAAGTTTGGACACACCGTGTGCTATGAACTGATATCGGAAGTCGAATTATACTCACATACTTGACATACGAGCCGCGGTGAAAACGTACATCAACAGCCTCAAGCAGTGGGAGAAACGATGGAGGGGTTGGGATGCATGTTCGGATTCCTCGGCTCGAGAGTTTCCCCACAGCTGAAAATTTACACGCGACTTAGGATTGAAAGGCACGATAACCAACAATAAACTCGCCGAAAATATCCTTGTTGTGATAAAAATGCGGTAATGCCTAATTTCCCATCACCTAGGGGAAACGTCGTGCCTCAGGCTGACATCTTTTATATCATGCACAATGGTGATTCGGAATACGCTCATTATTTTTTCGGAAAAAAACGGAAAATTTATTTCCCGCATCTACTGAAGAGGGCTTCAAAGTGGAACAAATTTATTGGGGAGAAGATGGACGGATGACCAAACGAACCTGTTCGTTTTTTCTCCAAATCTGCGTTGGAGAAAAATCCATGAGTTATCGCACTGTTGTTATCTGCCATAAATGACCTTCGAAGGGGAAAAGTCTCAAGTCTAATAATCGACCGATTTCAATACATAAGTTATGCACACATATATACTCTGGCATTGAGACGGTTCTATTGTTCTTGTGGTCCTAACTTTGGTTCTAGTTTTTAATGGTTGACCATGCGCTATCTCAGAATCGTAGAGAGGTGCTCTCGACCCTGCATCGTGGGCGCGTCAACGTGTTGGTGGTGACCTTTTGCAGTTATGCGGCTCTGCATGCGGCACGGAAGGCTTTCTCGAACTCGAAAGCGGTAGCATAATGGGGGGGCTGGTTGGAATCTTATGGTTGATCGGCTAGGATTCGAAATAGGTCAGATCGGTATCATGTAAAATCGCCCATTTGAGCGAGATGGAATTTTTGATAAGAAGTTTGGATAGGAGTAACCCCAACGTTTTCTAAGACGTGGTATATATAAAATAATGGCGGGAAAAATTGTGATTGGATTTTATTCTGTTTCTGTGAATTAATCTGTGGATTCTGTTTCATTTTAGGATCAGTCTAATAAGACTATGTCTCTAGTTCAACTGGAGAATTTTCGTTCGACGCTGCCCATGTTCTATAATCAGACCCTTCAAGATGCCCGACCGGACTCTTTCCCAACAACGACCTTAGCTGCTTTGGATACCATGTTTATGCTCTCATATTCATCTGGGCTTCTCTTAGCGAGAAGACTCGGAGATGTGTTTTCGGCGTCTACTGTACTTAGTGTTGGCCTGGCATTGACTACTGTGGCGCAGATGTTATTTGCTGTATTGTGCGTGTTGAGAACAGCGGTGACTTGGGAGTTCAAAATGGCTCTGTATTGCATATGGATACTTAACGGTTTGGTAGTGGGAGGGTTTGGTATTCCTGCGGGTTTTCGAGAAAAGTCTTGGGGGAAATCCGAATCGAAAAGAATTCCAAGGAGAATATCAAGTCACATACAAAATCGCTACTTTATTGAAATGGAAGCAGTAGTGGACATCGGGTCGCTTGTTTGTTCTTCGAATGATATGTTCGGTTTGTCTTCTTTTCTAGCGTGTATAGTGAGAATTTGGATTCATAAAATATAGAGATCCGAATCGGATTAGAATTAGTTGTTAATAGTCTATCGCTGTACTTTTTATAGATTATAAATTGTATTTTCCGTCAAATTTCTTTCAGGGCGATCGTGACAAGTCGTAACATACAATTTCTCATACAGTGCGTGCAAACTTGATATGAAAATGTTGTAAATGCGCGCGCTATTTTGTCGATTTCTCAGGTTCAGTCGTTATGTTGGCCAGCCTGTGTTAAGCTGGTGGGAAATTGGCTTACACCCGTGCACCACCTCATCGATGATGATGACGATGTTAGCACTACTTCTGAGGATTCTGATCCGATCAGTATTGCAGACGGCCAGATAGGCATCGTCAGTCCAGCACATTCTGGCATGTAATTTGATTTGTGGTCGAGTAATGCGAGTGTTGGTAACATCGTGGGCGCTCTGATGGCTGCGGTCGCGCTGGGCATTGCAGGAGCGTATTCATTTATGAAGGGAATAGAGGTAGGCGGGGGGAGTGTAGGGAATTTATGTGTCCGAGAAGATTGAATTATGAGAGATTTTACAGTAACTCTGATAACTTTGATCATCATCATGATGACATCATGGTCTTGGCATGGGTATGAGTTATTAGAGTTTTATATTGGGTATCTACGGTATGGATAGAATTTTTTTTGTATGTCGGGAAGACGACATTGCATGAATTAGCAAGCGCTGTTATCATTAGCATTTGGTTCCTTTTACAAAAGAACATGTTAATGATGAAGTCACTGAACGGTAGTCTGGCCAGTTCATGGGATTTAAATTTTTGAAATCTCGTCCGCACCGTTTCTACGTTTTCGTGGGACCGTCCGTATTATTGTTGCTTTTTGACTATCGCTCGAGCAAGTTGAAGGACTTCCCATCAGCTGCAGGATTTAACGAAGGAATGGTAGATACTGGCGAGAGGCTTATGAAGTCATGAGGAGTTTATGTTAGTATAACGTTGGATTGGTTGTTGTTTCTGTATAACCTGGCTCATGCTGTTAATGCTATACTTTTAAGCTAGTTCTGATATGCGAAAAAATATTCCGATGATGATGTAGTTTTCTATTTTTAAGTTAGTTGTGCATACATCTGCTATGAAAACATTGGAGTTTCACCCGTTTCACGTGAAGTGGTGTAATACTCTGAAAGAAACCCGGTATTTGTGGTATGCAGCAGTCGTGATATATTCTTTTCACCGGTGTTTTTCATATCACGGGTGAAATTCCAATGATATACAGTAAGAAAGTCTTAGTTTGACCGAAAAAAATGATGAACGTGGATGTGCTCATGTGGATCGTCCGTAGGGAAATCGAACCGTGGGCCTTCCGTGAATTAGTATGTAGCTCCCCCACTATACTAGATATGTTGTACTGAGGTTAGGTTACGACTATGCCCGTGACCGGTGTATCATTACCGACCTTGGAAGCTTTGTTGAGGGGTCTGGGAAAGATCTGGCACGCCTTCTGGTTACCATTCGTCGCCCGATATTCTCTCGTCTATGCTTGTACGAAGGGCGTCAACTATGCAATGTTTTTCTGGCTTCCCTTCAATGTACCAAAATCGATAGCTCACTGCTATAACTAGATAAGCCAACTCGACTCCAGCTCTTGTACTATACCAGCCAAGGAGGTAAGTCAAGGCAGTTAAGCCGAAGGTCGATAGAACCGATCTTCTAACCGAACCGAACGAAGATAAATAAACGAAGAGGAAGAAGAAGAACTATAGCACAGTTATACTCGATCGATCAGACTCTTGATAATACGGGGTGAACGCAAACTCATCTTCACGCACACAGACTCGGTCCACCTCTATCTCAGCGAGGTGGGCCCATTATTTGTCCAATCCTGCTGTGTTCGAAGCGAAAGGGCTCGCCTCAGAGTGACTCGGTGATTAGGTTTGTGAACTCGATCCGGTATTGGCTGATGGTCTATCTGTATTTTATGATATAGGACAGTGCTTGGGCGGGGTTATCGCGAGCTCCGTTGTAGACAGAATGGCTAAGGGGAAGAAATCCATCGTATGATCGATTTGAATTTATCATTGAGGAACCGTCTTCAAGGAAATTTGTGCAGTAGTGATTTTGGTATAATTTCGTGGCGCGTGATGGAATAAAACCATCCGAGGACTTGCATGTTGTTCTGATCATATTGCTGGTTTGCAGGTGATTACCTCATCTCTTCTTCTGGCGGTGATACCAATTCTAGCGCTGAGCTTAAGGCACAGCTCAATCGTATCCGTTACTGTTATTATCTCCATAGCGGGGTTGCTGGTAAGGAAGCTTGTGGTATCAGCACAGCGATAGCGGTCTCAGCTCGGTTAATCCGTGAGTCCTCGATCCTCGGTTGAGCATCTTTGCACGAGATGCTACTTGATGCAATCTGTGAGTGATGAAGTTAGTTGGAAAGCGAGATACAGACTGGAATGTAGGTAAACCTCTCTGAGAGTCGTTATCTGTTACATAGGGAATTCTGAATCAGAAATTTTGATGATGATCCCTTGATACAGCAGCGAATAAGCTAGAGGGTTTCATGCAATTCGTCTCTGCAATGGAAAACGGCGATAGAAAAAATGTGTATGTCATACGTAGACGACATGCGATAAGGTCATGACCTTGCTTTTCCGAAGCCTAGTGCTCTTGATACTTGCTGCAACAATCTCCTCAAGATTGGCCTTGGCTTGCCCACCTGCACTCCAACTGCCTTTCTGTATCTAGCATTACACGTGCCTGTGGCCAGTGCCATTCATCTGAAGAGGTCCCTCATATCATGGAATACTATTTTCCATTGTGATGCAATTCATCGGTGTCTCTTATCTGAAACAATGGCCGACGAATCCTCGGAGATGTGGCGTGGGTTTATTGCGTTTGGTAGTAAAGACTTTACTGTAAAGTTGGTATTTGCTCGAGCAGCATTTTCGACTGCATTACTTCCGAACCGCTCGTTGCTAGACGTAAAGCTCATGATCTATCTTTGCTAGCTGCCAACAAGATTATCGATGAAGCTATTGCTCGTGCGTCCTCCCGCATATCAATCGGCAACCACTTTGTCTCTTGCTGTGGTATCTTCCTGCCTTTGCCACTTAAAGATTTCGTTATGCACCATCAAGACGGCCGTGCTGCTATTAGAATGTTGGTCCCTTTCTCTCTCAATCGCACTCATTATAGATGGGCAAAATCGCCGTAAATTACGAATTCCGTTACGATTTACGAGTCGTAAAATATTTCAATTCACGGTTACGGATGCGATTTACGGTTTACGGCGGATTCTCCAGCTTTTGTTACTAGAAGTTGGCTAGAACACATCTTCTTCAAAGAAACGCGAAACAACTCCTGCAAATCATGCTCTAATATCACTTATACAACTACGGAAGACCAGAAAGACACACAGCAATGGGACGCTAACACTTAATATGTGTCACAGATTAAAAGAATACTAAGGGCCGATAGCAGAGCTAATGGCCCTTCAAAAGCATTAAGGTACGTAAAGTGCTGTCAGATAATCTGGATCTTCTGCTTCTCGATAAAGATCCAGCTAAGCTGAAGCTCTCTTCGCAGCTGCAACTACTCCCAGGAATTGTTGCGAGGGCAACAGCAACCTTAGTGAGAATGGGCAAATCTGGGCAGCCTGCCCAGAAGCCGAGGAAGTCCGAGTGCACGGCAGACTCGGATCTCAACCTCTGCTCATATGCGATCAACTCGCGAGACAACCCCGTCACCGCCGTTGTTGTCCTCCTGAGATCTCTGCGATTGAGGGCACCCAACAAAGTACCCTCTACCCCATGCCTACTAGTTGATGAGGAGTCGTCAGCGTCAAGAGCACTGTCACTGATGTCAAAGAAAGCCATACATTTTCTGATAGAATCTTGAGCGGAGTCCTCGTCCTCCGTATCGGCGAATGCAGGATGGAGATAGGATGCAGCCACGCAGGCATGGTGAAGAATGCCCGAGTCCGTTTCAATCAAGCAAAACTTGAAGTAGTTGTTCAAGCTCTCATGCACACGATCCTTGATCCGGCATAACTGCGAGCGCCCACCTGCACCGCTGCACTTCTGGAGTAGGCCCTTCACCACCGGTCTAATAAGACTGAGCGTACAGTACGACGATCCAGAAAACAGGCG